CCAGCCCATGATTCCTCTGAAGAGGCTTTATTGGAAAGCAGAGCACTTTGATCTAGTGTAGTGTAAACATAATAAACATGTCTCAACACAATGTTATTGCTCAGTAGGAAAACTGCATTTTAAACAATTGGCTCTCTGGGTATATCGCCTAAAGACTCCATGTGACCATTTTTACACCAACACAATTTGGGCCTTAATGACCATTTATGACTTGAAATCCCAAATTGTTAACAGATTAGCTGACTCTCAGTAACTGTGCAAATAGCTCTGGTACTGTGCAAACAGGACAGCTGAAGTTAGTTGAATACAGAAATGATGCAATTGCTAGATAAAGCAGTTTTAAATTCATCTCTTGGAAATTTTGTGGTTTCTTTCACTCAGTCTGCTTCCAAAAAAGGTACGTGCAGCCTGTATAATGTTTTCTGGGTCTGAAAGAAGTGCTTCTGGGAGGAATGCCAAAACCTGACACTATTTCCAAGGTCAAACAACCCAGCTCAGCAACAGGGAGCTCATATCTTAAAATCACACTGTATTCTTGCTACCTTACTTGGTCCAGATAGACCTGATGACATCTTCAATGTGTTTCTTCCCTCCCTTAGTTAAAGGAACAGAGTTACTTTCCCCATTTCCTTCATTCATACTGCACAGATCACAAAATACTATTTCAGTCACCTTTTAAAGAGATACAATGAAGCAATCACTTTTTAATGTAAACTTATAAACTTTTCCAGCCAAAGGTGGGGTTTTTGCTGTATTCTGTATGGTTTAAACTTGGAACTATAAGCCTTAGTGAAAAGGGAGAGAGTAAATATTCTAGTAATTGTCTTGGAAAAGGGGGGGGGGGAAACTACCTGATTCCTTGCTGTTTAAACTATCATTGATACACATTTGATGTGTTCAATTCTTTTGATCAAACAGCATTTCTCCAAGTGACTGAAATATTTGCAGGGTGAGTAAGGCCTCTTTTAGTTCCATTGAGTTTCATTTAGGCTAGATTTGTACCCCATAAAATTTTAAATTACAATTGTTCATGGTACTTTTTATTTAGCTTCTTGTTTCTAAGCAAATAAAAGTACTGGGAATGCAAAGGCATTATTTTTTACCAACAGAACATAGCTTCATAAAAGATATGTCCTTCAGTACTCAGGCTGTGTTCACATGTAATGACAAACCATGGTTGTTAATATGGCAATGGAATTTGGAAGTTCTCAATTTTTTGCATATTCCTCCCCTCATATGTAGTGTGGATACTGAAGACTTCACAGGTTCCAATGGCCCTTTCACCTTGGAAGGAGGTGTGGGATCAAAACACTTGCATGTTTTTCCTTTCTGGACAAACAGCAACCCTGGAGGGGAGGGCAAGTCAGATGAGGAGGGGGGAAATGAAAAATCTCTCCCATAGGGCTGCAGTTTAAACAGCACTGGCTCTTCGGCTTTGAAACAGAGATGAGCACCACAACCCTAGAGTCGGATTCGACTGGCTTTTGAGCAAGGGAACCTTTACCTTTTTTATTATCAGGGGATCTATTCTCGGTTCCCCTGCAACCACGTAAATTTTGTCTCTCATAGCCTCTCATGACATCTGAATCAGATGGAAGGATGAACTGGAGATTTGCTCATAAATCAGGATTCCCAAAATGGTTTGGGTTCCTCATTTGTATGCAAGAGAACAAACCAGTTTACTGGGATCTTGGAAATCTTTGTTATCTGAACTGTGGGAAAGAGAAAGGGAGAACATGGGCCTCAGGATTTTCAAGGTTCATTCCCATAAAACCAACTACAGCCTCATTATTTCATCACTTGTTATCAGACTGAAAGAGCAGAGACCCTTGACTTCCTTTGAGGTGTTTGCTTCATTAGTGTTTACAAACTGATTTCTTGTGTTGAAGGGGAAACTAATTTTTAATCATGATAATTAAAGAGAAAGAGAGGTTGGTTTTTAACCTTCTGCTTCTTCTTTAATTTGAAAATTAAACAAATTAAGCCAAGTTATAGCCAGAAGTTTCAGACCAAACTGTAGGGCTCATTCTTGTGTGCAATTTTTGGCATAGTATTAGCCTTGCATAGATATTATACCATATAAGGATCATAGTTGAGAGTGGGAAAGGGAAACAGACTGCCTGAAATAATGCTTATGTGTAAATTTCAGGATTTACCATTCAAAGGAAAAGATCTGAAGATTTTTTTCTTGCTCAGTAAATTCTATAGTTCTTCATGTTGGGAGACCACACCAAGAACCTCAGCACCTAGAACTATTGAGCGGTCTTTACACATGCAGACTTTCTCATTCGTTCAGGCCTATTCCTTCAGACTTATCCTGACTTTATGGAAGAACAAGATGTCATTTGAAGGAAAATAAAGTTGAAGAAAGTGTGGCTACCACCCTCCACCCCCCATTTTGTTTTCTCCATTGAAATGTACAGCAGAGACGAATGATGTTTTGGAGAGGAAGACAGAGAGAACCACGACTTTGGAAAGCTGTGACTTTGCTATGCCTTTGTTAATATTGTAAAACATTTACTATCTTGTATTCTGTGTACAGATCACATTGTGTACATTTTACATACAGGTGACCTTTTGTAACCTAACAACTAAAGCCTATACTTAACTTTTCCCCCTCTTGCCTTTTTTATAGGCTTTCGAAAAATAAGCCTTGATGATCTCCGAAAGGCATATATCGTGAAAGATGTTCAACAGTATATTCTTCATCGCTTGGATCAAGAAGAAGCTCTAAGACAACATCTCACAAAAGAAACTGCAGAAATGCTGAATCAGCTTCACATTAAAAGCAGTGGATGTTTTCTGTACCTAGAACGTGTCCTAGATGGAGTAGTGGAAAACTTCATCATGTTAAGAGAAATCCGTGATATTCCTGGAACACTTAATGGCCTCTATCTTTGGCTTTGTCAGAGGCTTTTTGTAAGAAAACAGTTTGCAAAGGTCCAACCTATTTTGAATGTAATTCTTGCTGCTTGTAGGCCACTGAGTACAACTGAATTGTTTTATGCAGTATGGACCAAAAACATGGCATTGTCTATGGAAGACTTCCAACGCAAACTAGATGTTTTGTCAAAAGTTCTTGTTGATGGGCTCGGAAACACAAAGATACTTTTCCACTACAGTTTTGCAGAATGGTTGCTGGATGTAAAGCACTGTACTCAGAAGTATTTGTGTAATGCAGCAGAAGGACACAGAATGCTAGCAATGAGTTACACCTGTAGGGCTAAGGATTTATCTCCACTAGAGGCTCAAGAATTTGCTTTGCATCTAATTAATTCAAACTTGCAATTGGAAACTTCAGAGTTAGCTTTGTGGATGATCTGGAATGGTACGCCTGTCAAAGATTCTTTGTCAACATTAATCCCTAAAGAACAGGAAGTCTTACAGTTGCTCGTAAAAGCTGGTGCTCATGTCAACAGTGGAGATGATCGGACATCTTGTATTGTACGGCAAGCTTTGGAAAGAGAAGACTCCATTCGAACTTTGTTAGATAATGGAGCTTCAGTAAACCAGTGTGATTCAAATGGGAGAACGCTGTTGGCCAACGCTGCATATAGTGGCAATCTCGATGTCGTCAATTTGCTTGTTTCCAGAGGAGCGGATTTAGAGGTTGAAGATACACATGGCCAGACAGCGCTTACTTTAGCTGCTCGGCAGGGGCATACCAAGGTTGTCAATTGTTTGATAGGATGTGGTGCTAATATAAATCACACTGATCATGATGGCTGGACAGCACTGAGATCTGCAGCTTGGGGTGGGCACACTGAGGTGGTTTCTGCACTTCTGTACGCTGGAGTGAAAGTAGACTGTGCCGATGCAGACAGTCGTACAGCTTTGAGAGCAGCAGCCTGGGGAGGGCATGAAGATATTGTGCTGAATCTGTTGCAACATGGAGCTGAAGTCAACAAAGCAGACAATGAAGGTAGAACTGCTTTAATTGCTGCAGCATACATGGGTCATAAAGAGATTGTGGAGCATCTGCTGGACCATGGTGCAGAAGTAAACCATGAGGATGTAGATGGAAGGACAGCTCTGTCTGTTGCTGCTCTTTGTGTACCTGCTAGTAAGGGGCATGCTTCAGTTGTGAGCCTTTTAATTGACCGGGGTGCTGAGGTGGATCATTGTGACAAAGATGGCATGACTCCACTGCTGGTGGCAGCCTACGAAGGGCATGTAGATGTTGTTGACTTGCTTCTGGAAGGTGGAGCAGATGTGGATCACACTGATAACAATGGTCGCACGCCCCTTCTTGCTGCAGCTTCAATGGGCCATGCTTCAGTTGTAAATACTCTGTTGTTTTGGGGGGCTGCTGTGGATAGCATTGATAGTGAAGGACGGACAGTTCTTAGCATAGCCTCTGCACAAGGTAATGTTGAAGTAGTACGGACTCTGCTGGATAGAGGATTAGATGAAAATCATAGAGATGATGCGGGATGGACACCTTTGCACATGGCAGCTTTTGAAGGACACAGATTAATATGTGAAGCGCTTATAGAACAAGGTGCCCGAACAAATGAAATTGATAATGATGGGCGGATAGCTTTCATATTGGCAGCCCAGGAAGGTCACTATGATTGTGTGCAGACCTTACTGGAAAATAAATCTAACATTGATCACAGAGGCTATGATGGGAGAAATGCTCTCCGTGTTGCTGCTTTAGAAGGCCATAGAGATATCGTTGAGCTGCTCTTCAGTCATGGAGCTGATGTGAACTACAAAGATGCTGATGGCCGGCCAACGCTTTACATTTTGGCTTTAGAAAACCAGCTCACGATGGCTGAATATTTTTTAGAAAATGGTGCAAATGTAGAAGCAAGTGATGCTGAAGGAAGGACGGCACTTCATGTTTCCTGCTGGCAGGGCCATGTAGAGATGGTACAGACGCTGATAACGTACCATGCCGATGTGAATGCAGCAGACAATGAGAAGCGATCGGCTCTACAGTCTGCTGCATGGCAAGGCCATGTCAAGGTGGTTCAGCTTTTGATTGAACATGGAGCCCTGGTTGATCATACATGTAATCAAGGTGCTACTGCTCTCTGTATTGCAGCCCAAGAAGGGCACATTGATGTAGTGCAACTATTACTGGAACATGGTGCTGATCCAAATCATGCAGATCAATTTGGGCGCACAGCTATGCGTGTGGCTGCTAAAAATGGGCACATGCAGATCATTAAATTATTGGAAAAATATGGTGCTTCTACTCTAAATGGTTGCATTCCATCTCCAGTCCATACGATGGAGCAAAAACCTTTGCAATCAGTGTCTTCAAAAATGCAATCCTTAACAATTAAATCAAATAGTTCAGGGAGCACTGGTGGAGGAGATATGCAGCCTGCTTTACGTGGCTTTTCAAATGGGCCAGGTCACGCTTTTAGTTCTCCTTCTGAGTCTCCTGATTCTACAGTTGATCGGCAGAAGTCCTCTCTATCCAATAATTCCCTGAAAAGCTCAAAAAACTCTTCTCTTCGCACCACCTCATCTACAGCAACTGCCCAGACAGTACCTATTGATAGTTTCCATAGTATGTCCTTTACAGAACAAATACAGCAGCATTCATTGCCTCGCAGTAGAAGTAGGCAGTCCATTGTTTCACCTTCTTCTACTACTCATTCCTTAAGTCAGAATCATAGTTCACCAAACAGTGAATTTGAGTGGAGCCAAGTGAAACCCAGCTTGAAGTCAACAAAACCAAACAAAACAGGGAAAACGGAAAACTCCAGCAAATCTGGGTCTACAGGGAAAAAAGTGAAACAGAGCACTGCTTCCCAACCAAAAGTCCTAGAATATGAAATGACTCAGTTTGATAAACGGATACCTGTTGCCAAATGTGGAACCAGTATGCCACTTAAATCAATGTCTACAGACACTCAGTGCAAAATTTTGGTCCCTCCTGCTCAGTCAGAAATCTGCCGATCACAACAGCAGTTCCTGATCCACCAACAAAGTGGGGAACAGAAAAAGAGAAATGGAATAATGACAAATCCAAACTACCATCTTCAGAGCAATCAGGTGTTTCTTGGCAGAGTTTCAGTCCCACGAACAGTACAGGATCGGGGGCACCAGGAAGTTTTGGAAGGCTACCCTTCAGCAGAGACAGAGCTAAGCCTCAAACAAGCCTTAAAACTCCAAATTGAGGGGAATGACCCGAGCTTCAACTATAAGAAGGAAACGCCATTATAAAAGGTGAGCTGTTTTCAGGTGTGGCAGGCAGGAATGGGGGTGCAAATGCTGAGCAACAAACAAAGGAAGAAGAGACCCCATGCTCTTATTAGGAGACATCGCACAGCTGCATTGAGTTTGGGCATGGTTGATACTGACTGGTCAGCTGAACTCTTTGTTGACCCATCATTCCACGGTCACATAAACCATTCCGTATCTCCTCCTCCAGTGCCACTGTGTAACAGCAACCAGTTAGAGCATACTCAGTCTCAACCACCACATCCATTCTCCAGCAGCAGTGTGATGCTTGCCTGTCTCATCACCTTTGACCACTTTGCAAATTATAGATGTTCATTGAAACCAGATTTTTATAAATTTAATTTATAATTGTAATAACATCATGCAAACTACTTACTACTGTCTGTAAGTTTCTAAACATATTTCAGATGATTAGCACGAGCTACTTGTTTGCCCTCCGTGTTTCAGTTTATTGAAATACAGTCTGAATAGCCCAGCTCAGCCCTGGCTTGTCAGAACTTGGGAGCTAAGCAGGGTTGGCCATGGCCAGTACTTGGATAGGAGACCACCAAAGAAGACTGGCAGTTGGCAGTGGCAAACCACCTCTGTTCATCTCTTGCCTGGAATGCCCCATGGTTGGGGTCATCGTGAGTCAGTTGGTAGTTGACAGCTTGTTCTTCTTTAAACTAAGATTGCCAGCTCCAGATTGGGAAATTCTTGAATATTTGGGGGTGGAGCTCAGGGAGGGTGGGGTTTGGGGAGGGGAGGGGAGGAACCTCAGTCGGGTATAATGCTATAGAGTCCATTGTCCAAAGCAGTCATTTCCTCCGGGGAAACTGATCTCTATAATTTGGTGATCAAATGTAATTCCAGGAGGTTTCCAAGCTGCATCTAGAGGTTAGCCAAATGCATTGTTTTGAACAGAGCAGTCCTATACATACACAGTTTCTTTAAAAAGTGCCCATTGTAGTTAAGACTAAACAGTGCACAGTGGAAAGCTTTTACTTCCCTACAAATAAATGCTTATTAATGCATGTATAAGCCTGGGCTTATGAGCTGTAGCTGCTATTCACACTACTTGCTGTAAGAAAATTGATCAGAATGAGTTCTCTGAGTGTGGTGAAAACATGACTTTTGACCTGAACATGAAATGAGGCAGATGTAGGTCAAGACACTGTTTTAAAGCTATATAGACAGCAGCATCTATTGATCAAAGAGAAAGATCAAAGCCTCCATGAGAGAGAGAGTACCATAATTGCTTGTAGGTTAAGTCTGCTGTGAGCATATATGCATACATTTTTAAAGAGCAACCTGTGTTTAAGCAAAGGTACTGTTATCTCATTTATTTATCATAATAAAAAATATGTTTTATGTTTTGTTAAGGTAGCTGTGTATTAATCCCCAAAATCAGTACCCCACAAACTGGAAATACAGAATTTTCTTCCAAATTGCAACCATATCTCTGCCTGAAAGTGATTCTTACAAGAGGTTATCAGATGTGTGACTATTGACAAGAGCCAAGTTCTTTTCATCATTACCTTACCAATAATGTTGAGGCCCACTAAAATCTGTTGCTTTATCAACTGTATTTCCATCTCTCCACTAGTGATAAGTGTTGATGGGACATGGACATGTGGGGAATGCACAGGACAACATCATGTTATGGGTGGAGAGGGAGGCGAGAACTCAGTACAGGGATCCTGTTTTCTTCAGCATCATCCTGTACAAAGCCCCATGTTATCTCTTATTCCAGCTGATTGTTTTTCATGTTCAGTCCCTGAGGAAAAAATTACAAAATAAATGTTTTACTGATCATTCTTTTATTATTAGTGATTATATCAGCTGCTTCATCATGTACGTGGTGATTATATTGGGATGTAATATTTAATTGATTTTGTTTTTTAGGGCAGTTCCATAACACCATCAATAGAATGAAGAGCTTCTGCCTGCAATGATTTGTCAACTGGGCTGGGATTAAAGCATGTCTTGCTTGTCAAACCACCTTGAAAATTACGAATGTGATCACTGCAGTAGGGTTACTTTGATTACTGTAATGTGCCTAAAAGTTTAAGGCTGCCTTCTCTGTGTAACCTCCTGTGCTTCAGAAACTTTATTTTGTGTATTTTGTACTTAATACACAGAATAAGCACTTTTTTTCTTTCTTTATAGCAGAACAGTATATGCTGTACTTCTCTGACACAGCTGAAAAAAATTAAGTGCTAGGAATTTTGAATTTCCTGTTCAAGAAGGCTTGATCAGTGTACACATGCCACAGTGGACTGTATGTTGAAAAGCAATGCTTTCTGTGTTTATTTTGTATTCATGTGATAAAAGAAAGTGGAAAGTCATCAAAAGATGAGGAATGTCCTGTGTAATCTTAAAGACTAACCACTTTTAATAACAGGCATTATTAAAGACCCATTGAACCAAAGCCAATTGCTCCACTCAGTTCCTTCTGTTATCAGCAGGGATGTGGCCTGAGTTTGAAGTAGTTATATTTTAAGGTTCCACAGGACTTAGCTTTTTTGCTGCAGCACACTAGAGGCAGGCTTACATGGTCAAAAATCCACACAGAAGCTCTCAAGCATTGCCACAAATAGCAATGCCGACAAAGCAGCAATAAATGCAATTTTGGCAGGCCAAAAACTACTTCTGCAGCCAGATACAAATGTCAGATCATGTAGCAGTGGAGGAGTTGGCTCACACATTATTCTCCACATGAGCACACACATACACCCAGCTCCTGATGCTGATTTTGAGCATGTGAATTGATTGCAACAGGGCTGCTCTCTGTACCTGTATTTGCAATGCCATCATGTATAATCAGTTTCCTGTGTAATTCAAAATTTTCTCTCAAGCGAATCTTGTGACAGTGTTGGCTAAAGTGCAGAAGTGCAGTACTTGTGTTTACGTTTGGTAAGTAGTGGAGGGAAGACGGTAGTACAATTCACTACTCCTACCATTCCTTGTAGAAGTGTATCCATAAGGCAGCAATGCTTAGTTCTTCACTTTACCCACTGAATGAGATTAATTTGTATTCAGCCCTTCTCTGCCTGTATTATGAGGCAGTTGCTCAAGCACCTGTTCCAGGCACTCTTCAGCCAGCACCTTGCCTAGCCCCAGGTTTTTTAAGGAAAGGACACCTAGCCCGGTGCCAGAACCACATTATTTGCACACAGAGGGTTCCATGTTCATTCTCTAGCATATCACCTGCAACACTAAGAACATTTCTGGGCAGTAAGCCTTATTGAAAATAATGGGGCTTGCTTCTGAGTAGACATGACTAGGGTTGCTCTCTTTCAATTATTTGCCTAACTCCGGCTTAGGAGCCACGTGTGACTCCTCTAAGCATTGGTCCCTAATGTGGCACCTGCCCCATGTTTTATGAACGTGGGCACGGTCTTGTGGTTGGTGTGCGGTTTCCACCTTGAAACAGCCACTGTTGACGGAATGTGCAAGTAATGAGCCCCCATGACATTCGTGTCTCATGCCAGGGGTGGAGGTAAATGTGGCTCTTTGGACTGATGGTGACTGCAGATGTGGCCCTCCATGTGGCGTGGAGTGAGTGCCACTGACCCAACAAAACTGAGGAAGTCATTTTCCTGAAAACCTTGTGCACTGCTGCCTGTCTGAGTGCTGGTCTGAAAGGACCTATAGTCTGATACCACATAAATCAACTTCATGTGCTCTTTCAAAATATTGTAAAACTGGATTTTACATACCCATTAAGCCTTAGTTGCTTTTGTCTCAAATGTAAATAAAACATTTTTTTGTGGCTGGAGATGAATAGATGTATATACAAAAAGTGTCCATATACATATATGGCAGGAGTCACCTGGGAAAGGACACAGTTTTGTCTCCCAATGTGTCCCCGGGCATACTCTTTCATTTCTCCTGTATAAGTGAACAGTTGCCCTTTTTTCCAGGAGTGGAGGGGGGAGTTTGCTTGGGGATGCTGCTGATTGATCAAAAACTGCTTTTCACCCTCACACTGGATGGCATGCCTTCACTGAGACTGTGCACAAAGAAACATTTTAATGCCTTTCAATATCCACACATGCACATATAGGTTCCTGCAATAGTCCGGATCCCCCTTGCCTGTCACAGCAACAGACATATTGCTATTTCCTGGTAATTCTAAGATGAATTGCTTGTATCTTTCAGGAGATTTGTAAATTAAATACTTGGGTACTCTTGCAGATAGCTTCAAGAATGGTGTTAATGGCTTTAGTAAGGATGCCAAAATGTTACTGCCAGCTTGCCCTGAACCTGAGGTGCTGGGCATTTGCAACACCACATAAGAATACAGCTCTTCTTTCTTAGTAGGTGTACGCTATTATTTGTAGAAAGACACCCCACAAGGTTGTTTTCCTCTCTGGATTTCAGCTGTTGCTGAGATTGTATTTATTTAATTGTATTGCTTTATTACATTGTGTACCTTGTGAGTAGAGGTTAAAACTTCTGGCCATTTTCACAAGAAGGCTATATGTTGCAGAATAATACTGAAATTAAAATGAGCTGGTGGGGGTTAACCATTACCATGCCCAGAAATCAGCTAAACAAAGGTCCAGCTGATATCTTCCAGAATCAAAATTAAATGTTTCTGCACATCTTCAGAGATGCTTTGGAATATAGCATGCTTTTTTCTCTGTTAAAAGTATTCTCTTGACAAGAGTGTGAGATTGTCCCGCATTGCTATAGTATTTGCTTTTTAATACATTGCCACTCTCAGAAAGTAATCATCTTGAAATAATGACAGTTCTGGATTTTTCCTTCCAATTGTGACTTGTTGGTTGCAGTTCAGTTCTACTAAACCGTGACTTGATGGTGCTGATCAGCTGTGATTGAACTGAATTTGAGACCATCTGACTTCACCATTCCGTAACTCTCTGTATGTCATGTCCTCTTTTACACTCGTCTTTTCTTGATCTTCTTCAAAGCCATCACACAAGGGTAATAAGGAAGGGGTCCTAATTTTGTGACTTGCAGCACTTGTAGCTGTACCATGTGCTTGCCAAGAAAGCTGCCTTAAAAGGGAAGTAAATGGCAAATTTTGTCTATCCAAATCTAACAATGTTATGGTATAGTTATCCACTTTAGTCCTTGTTCAAGGTCAGTATTGGAAAATGGCTTTGATTTACTTACCCACAGAGTTTTCTCTTGTCAGTTACGCTGCTATGCAAATGTCTGTTGATGCTTGACACCCTCCATTTGGAACTCTTCAAACGACTTGGTGGTGCACAGATAAGACTCCCTCCCCCCCAATTTCCTGGACTGGGTTGTAAATAGCCTATAATGTACATTGACTTTCACATTGTAAAATTTTTATTTTATTTCTTGTATTATATTAAGCAAAAATCCCTATGTATATGAAAGTGCATAATAAATATATTTGCTTTTCAGCAGACATCTGTTTTCATTTTGCTCTTCCCCTCATTCTTGGAGGTAGTATTCCTAAATGTATTTGAGGAACTGGATTGAAATTGATTGGATAATTAGAACATGTCCACACCAGCCCTACTTGGGCACATTCTTTTCCATTTGTCTTGTCCCTGTTTTCCCCCAGTACTAATCCTCATGTATTTCCAATGCATTTGCACACCTGTGTGTGCATAACATCATGTTGATGCAATGTGAAATTAAAGGAGAAAGGAGAACTTGAGATGTCCTTGTGAGATTCTACTGAGTTTGTGAAAGGGCAGAAACTACCTTACAAGAAAATTAGTAGGAGAAAGTATTCATGTGCTAGTGTTTAAAGACAAAAGTTCTAATGGTGCGAGAGAAGCACTGGAACACTGGCTGGCACAGGAGACTTGTACCGTTAGGCCACAGCCACACATAAGAGAGTGGTCTCAAGTCTTCACAGTTTGGCTTGTTCCAAACCAACTACATTTGGCAGTCTTTGCTATGCCAAATTCTATGCTAGATTGTGGCCACTGTTGTTAATGTGTTACTCACATTCCTATACAGGAGTCGAGAAACTGGTGATGATTGGGGACACCAGTAGGGCTGATATTTTTCTATTTAAATATTCTTTTAAAGGGACTTTAGGATAGTTTGTATCATGGTTTGCACTGGGCGCAGTATGTGATGCTTTCCAAGTAGAGGACCTCTAAACAACAGCAGTGATTTTGGCATGGATGCAGAATCTCTTCCTTCAGTGCTGAAGGGAATCCCAGAGCCTGAAATGGTACACACTGAAAAACTTTGGGGGCAATGATTGTTTAAACTTTTGATAAGGTTCATAGACATTCTGTGTAGGCCTTACAAGTCGATTTAACATGTAATAATGATAACACTTTGCAGTGGTTTCTGTCAAATTTCTTCTTTATCCTCCTGCTATCTACAAGCATTATAAGCTTCATGGTGCATGTGTATATGTATCATATCTCACTGTAGAAGAAGAAGAGATTGAATTTATACCCTGCCCTTCACTCAGAGTCTCAGAGTGGCTTACAAACTCCTTTCCCTTCCCCTCCCCACAACAGACACCCTGTGAGGTAGGTGGGACCTAAGTCCAGGGTGGTGGCGGCAGAAGGTGGCAACCCACTGAGGTCATGACAGAAGGTAAGGCTCCTTTGTGGCAAGGAAATATCCCAAAGTCCCAAGGAAGGAAAAGCGGACTGGGCAACCTCTGTGGAAATGGAGATGGTGATACTGTACAAATTTGGCTGGCAGAACAGTGATAGTTACAGGAGCCAGCACACGAGAACATCAAAGAAATAATTATGAAGTCCAGTAGTTCAAGGTAAGTCTAGAAGGACAATCTGTAGATTTCCTGGCTCTGACTCAGTTAAGGGGGGAGGGGGGGTTCCAGAAAGGTAGTAAGAGGGGATTGCATCCAGGCAGGGTGGACAGAAAATCTGGCAAACTGGAGGGTTCACTTATGCCTAAGGCAGGTTGGCAGGAGACAGTCAGGCAAGATCAGTAAAAGTAATCAGGCCTACCTGGCTGCTTGTAAATATATTTTGTACTCAAGAAGACTTGCCCTTGCTGATGAGCGAGATTCAAGTCCAGTAGCACCTTAGGGACCAACAAGATATTCCGGATATAATTTTTCAAGAGTCAAAGGGAGTTTTGACTCTCAAAACCTTATACTCGAAAAATCTTGTTGGTCTCTCAAGTGCTACTGGACTCGAATGTAGAGGTTCTACTGCAGACCAACATGGCCACCCTCTGAAACTACCTTGCTGATGAAGTTACACTGATGGACCTAGGTGGGTGCCTGGCTTTGCCAGCCACTGTGGTGATTTGGTGGACATGCATGAGGTCCCATCAGTGAATCAATCTCCTGCCCAAGTTTTTAAGCCACTTGTTAGCATAGCCTGAGGAGAACCTTGATCTCACCTTCTGCAGAGCAAGGCTTTGCTAGCTCCTAGAATGGCTGCTAAAGTGAATTTAGCCAAGATGAAGTCAGGGCAGACAGCACACATCTAGGAAGGGGGCCTTGGTGACACAATGGCCATTATCTAAGACTGTAAAATGAGTAGGTAAGCAAAAGTACATACTAGGTGAGGTGCAAGGCTCAAGTAAAACTGTTCTGAAAAATACAAGAATAAGCGAGAGATGCAACAAAATCTGTTTTTCAACTAAGAAGGGAGTTTTGTTTTTGTTTTGCTTTTACAGAACACAAGGATGACATTTGTATACACCCCGTCTAGGCAAAGACAAATGACATTCAAGAACAGCAAGTGTTGAAGGGTTTGTAAACTGAGCTGATGTATTTTCACAGGTTCATAACATTTCCAGTATGTGTTGACAGAGCTTTGCAGGCAAACTGCCATAGTACTCAAGGTATTAATCTGTCATTCCTTTTTGTGCTTCTGACTGAAAAAATTTGGATGCATCGGACCTTTGAGAGCATTGGAACATGATGCCATTGATTTCAAGAGGGATTTTTAAGGATGGCAGCTTTGGAGTCTTTTTGGTCTGGAAATGTTCATATATATATATTCTTGCATATCAGCTGTTATATATGCCATTTTTATTCTGAATATATTCTGTTTATTTAGAGTTAACAGAAAGCATAGCCAGCCAGCTATGTGTAATGTGGATTAATCAGCTTTTGAACTGCTGAATTTGAGTCCAGTAGCACCTTCGAGAACAAGATCTTCAAGGTATAAAGCTACCTACATCACATCGGTATCTTTCTAAGGGAGCTCTGACTCTTAACAGCTGATACCCCCCAAATCTTGTTGGTCTCTAAGGTGCTACTGGACTCCAATCTAGCTGTTCTAGTGCCGACCAATATGGCTGCCCTCTAAAAATATCTTCAAGTTTTGAAGTTAGTATGTTGCTTAAGTTGTGTGATCGTTCTCTCCAGATGAGTAGTTTGCTTTCTCGTCTACCATTTCCATTGCACTGTAACAAATAAAACTTCATAGGCTGTCAAGCTGGTAAAACTTTTGCACTCTTCTGCAAGTTGTGGTTAATATGTTATTTGATAACATGAAGAATTCAACTTAAGGACAGGAAGTTGTCTTAGGTGATGTTTGGTTAAACTTCAGTTGTGTGGTATGTATTACATAATATAATTAATAGCTGTGAGGTAGACCGTAGAAGTGTGCTAATAATAGCTTGTTTTGATGGGGTAATTTTGCTTCTGGGGAGGTGAGTCCTCTGCATCTAATTTTTGATGTCGTTGATTGAGGTGACTTGTAAATTAGTCATAAGCATGTACAATCAGTTTTCCAGGGACAAGACAAAAAACGAAAGAGTATGTATTGGAAAACCTTGTGTGTCCTTAAAATATCCTTGGTGTGATGTACAGGATGTACAGTTGTCTGTAGTTATGGTGTCCTAAAAAATAAAAAAGAACACAGAGATGCCTTGAAGTTCATCCCTTTCCATAGTAAAGGTATTTCATTATCTGCTGTCCTAGAAATGGTGCTCATTAAAAATGGAAATTGCTTTGTGTGACAGATACATAACTTGATAGCTAAAAGTAGAAGTGGTAGAAAAATGGCTTAGTATTAAGTTGACCTGTAGGATTTTGAATCCATATGGAATAAATATTATGGTTACTAGATTGCATTACCAAATAGGAAATTTTCATCTTTCAAGAAGACATATTTTATCATCCCATTTGGAACTCTATAAACTTGGATTTGGGAAAAGTAGAAAAACAGATATATGCTTCGTTTATAGAATGAGTCAGATACTGCACAAAGGAAGATAAATGAAAGACTTGTTTATATATTGGCATATTCTGAAAAACTCCTAAACTCTCTCCTAGAGTTGTTGTAAGGATGGGAATGGGAAAACTATGTCCAGTCCTCTGAGCTTTTTGGAGGAAGGGCATCATAACATCGTGAATATGATTTTGTATATGTACATGTAATCAAACTTTGTCACTAGATCTGAATGGCACTGTAATTTTTTTTGTTAGGAAAAAGAACACCAGTTGCTATTTATGTATATTTATATCATGGTGTATTGCTGGTTAGGGATCACTGGTTTTTATATTATAGAGAAAACATCTACTGTGATGTTTCACTTCCTGGTGGTCTCACAGGGAAACAAAGGACTTAGCAGAATCACACTGTTTTAAAAGTGCAATACTTACAAACAAGTAAAAGCCCAATAACATCAAAAGAGCACTACTGGAAAAGGGAACCTGCAACTGTTTGTTATGAATAGGTAAGGTTCATGCTGGGTTGTGGTTAGTAAACTGCAGACTATACATCTCTAAACTTTAGTGACTACATGCCACTGCACCTTTACTGTTTTTCTGTTCATCTGGCAATCGGAATGTGACTCTGCTTCAAGCTGCACTTTTCTTTTCTCACTTGCTAAACTCTTTAGCACAGTTGGCTTTATGTTAATTAGATATTCTATCTCATCAAAGGCAGTTGCTTTAAAAACGAAAAGAAGCTGGCAGTAACACAAATTCATGTTTGTTGGATTCTAGCCAACCAGCTTTACCACCAGTGAAAATGGGAGGGGGGGGGTCCCTTTTGGCCTTCAAAAAGCTTATGCTGGGGATCATGAGAAGCACAATTACAATTAGCATTACAGTGAACACATTAACAAAGATTAAAAACGTGTTACATATATCCAAGTAAAGTCCCAAGAAATCATTGAAAATGCATGAACAAAAGTGACATGGGATGGGGGCTGTATAAATGGCAGCAGTGTGAGACTGAGTGAAAAAGCTGGGTGGGTCTAACTTATTATATGTAGGTTAATCAGTCTGGCTCCCAACGTGCTTACAGTTCAAATAACTGGAAAAATTGTTTGCCGTTGAAGTAGCCTGCAGAATTCTATCCAACTGATGGAGTAACAA